GAAAATTGTGGAGTTGACTGAAAGTATGCTTATTAAACATATTTGTATCTAAAATAATAAAATTGGAAAGATCAAGAAAATATTCAAGTATAGATAACAAATAAGAAATCAACAAAACTCGTAGGACTAACTTTGCAGCTTCTTTGTACAAATGTCAGCTTAACAAGTTTGATATGAATGTTGAAGTATCACATTGACTGCAAGACTACCATGTTGACGAAACACTAAGTAAAAGATCATAATCAGAAACAATCTTCACCCATCTGTTCAATTGATAAAAATTATGTTGATATGTTGAAAATAAATCACAAGTGAGTTTGTCGAAAAAATCCTGGCCAGACTGTGCCTTTTTTTAAGCATTTGTTCAATGAAGAAATGTTATATCAATCGAAAGTATGAAGCCTACTTTACGAAATTTCGATGCCAGTTAAAATGTGCGACAAAGAATTCTGAGCAAACTATCTCGTAGGATGGAACTAGACGCAGCATTGCAGCAGTTTTTCATAAAACTCTGATATTTTGCGTCACTAACTTTCCATTGATGTTTGGTAGTATGGATAATCTCAAAGAAGGACTACACCAATATATATTTCACTTATTTCAATTCAATCCTACTCAATGAATAGAAAAATACTAAGAATATTCCTTTGGCCCTAATAAATAATATTCTTCTTTTTCAATTTTGATTCTTTTAAAGCACATTTCAAAAATTATCAAGAAACTATGTTGTAAATATTATAGTTCCTGAAATATAATCCCTCACAACTTCAGAAATGACTGGAAGTGATACAGACTTGATAATTTTTTCAGTTACTGAAATTTAAACCAGAAAATTATGAACCTCATATTTTATACATTGATTTTCTTGTTTTCATTTGTTATTCATTGAATGAATGATTTTTTTTTTATTTGGTAGGAAGATCCTAATACACAAACATATTTCATGTTATATAGACAAACATATTAAGGTTATAGCACATATATACATATAGGTACACATAAATACAAAATATATATAGTCACTTACTATCTATTCTATTGTGATACCTTTCATATAATGAGTCAAATCTTTTTTGAATTGAAACAGGTTTTTATTATTTTTCACATTTTGGGAAAGTTTGTTATATTCAATGAGGCCTTTATATAATAAAATTTTCATGGAGTTTGATAAACTACATCGTGGCAGGTGAAAATTGTCATTTTGTCTAGTAGTGTAATTGTGAGTGGAATTTCTATAAATGATAAATTCTTCGAAATAAGAAGGTAGCATATGATTGGTTATCTTAAAAATAAATATCATTGCTGACCTGTAATATCTTTCACGAATAGACATCCACTGTAATGCACTGAGCATAAAGCATATACTTGCATAACGATTACATCCAAGAACCACCCTCATTCCTCTGTTCTGTAACTTTTGCAGAGACATAATTTTATTTTGGTCAAAACTGTATAACAGCGTACTGCAATAATCAAAATGGGGCTGTATTATTGTATTATATACGGTTATTTTCGCATTTGTAGAAAGGTGTTTCGAAATTCTAGTGAAGAAATATAGTTTTTTTGAAATCTTTTTAGTCATATAGTTATAGTGTGCACCAAAAGACATACTGTTGTCCAACATAAAACCTAAATATTTGAATTCTTTCACAAATTCAAGTTTCTGACCATCAGCATACAGGGAAAGAGTATTTATATTTATTTGTTTATATTTGTAAGAGGTTGTTAGAATCATAGCTTTCGTTTTTGAAGNTTTATACTTTTTTAGTACTTTTTTTATATCAACATTGTATTTCTTGGACTTTGTCAATAAGATGCAAATCTTCGGACAATAAAGTATATTTTGATTTGATTTGAAGTAGTTATTGTCAGAAAGTAATTGGTGAATATTCTAAACGTTTATTGATACAAACTGAGGAGAGTTTTGAACACATTGATTGATATTATGATATTCATCATTTGTTTGCAGATTCTCAAAACAATATCAAACTACCAATTATTCGGAAACAACTGAGGCAATTTCCGAAAATAAAATAGTGTTGGATACAGAATACCTATCAAATGAGATATGACAAGACCCTCCCATCCACTTGAAAAAAAAGTTGATAGCGACACTGTCTTTCTTAACAGAAAGTACTAAAAGTGATACCTTCCCACATAAATGTTGTCCAACCCTGATATCTTCTCCTTTTCAAAAGTTAAGATCTATACTGTATGTGAAAATATAGCAGGAGTTCTTGCCACATGATCATAAGGTCAATAAGAAGTATTCTCTTGAAGTTATGCGCCACTTGCGAGAAGCAATACAAAGAAAACGTCCATAATCATGCCTCAGCCACCGTATTCACCAGATTTGGCCCCTTGCAAGTTTTTCCTGAGCTCAACGTTGAAAGGACCCATGAAAGTAGGGAGTTTTGCGAAGACTAATAAATGTATTAATGAATTATAATTTATAGAAATAACTTTTCAATATTTTTGTGACAGTAACCAACGATGTATTAAAAATATCGAAGTATTTTGCAAGCGTATTACCCCATTTAACGCATCGACATAGAGGAGAGTTCTGTGAACAGTTTGTTCTCTTAAGGGGTAAAATGAATAATTCATGTGCTCTTATTGTATGCTCTATTCGGAACATTTAGGCAAATTATTGATAATAACGATGGACAATTTAATTTCTGTAAAAATATCTGATACATTCGCCTATGTTCCAATGATACAACGTAAAATCTCATCGTTTTTCAGTGATTCGAATACCTTGTTTAAACACAAGGAGATTTAAAAATCGATTTTGAATACGTTCTAATCGATGAATATATATATTATATTGTGGACTTCAAATGCTTGATGCAAACATTAACTCACTTAAAACAAATGCATTATAGAAAGATGTTGTTGATTTTGTTCGATTGAATAATTTACATTTTCTCGTGACATATCCCAGAGCTCTACTGCTCATTGATTACATAATCTATATGTTCATAAAAATAAGTTTGGGGTCAAAAATAACTCATAAACCTTTAAATGAATTAACTCGTGAAAGCAAGATAATATTTATGTGATATGAAAATATGTGGATATTTTTGTTACAGGTGAATGTAATGCAACTATATTTGGAAAAATTGAGATATAATTTGTTTTGTTTTCAAAATTCAAATAAATGATTTGTCACTGTGAATTCTTGAGCAATCTGACAAAGACTTTATTTGAAGATAGATTTTCAAATCATCAGCATACATTAAAAATTTGACATTCTTAAAACATTGTTTATTGTTATTGATATAGATAATAAAAAATAAGGTCCCTAGATGGGACCCTTGTGATACTCCACAAAGTGTTGGATAAGGTTCAAATGAATAACGTTAATAAAGATATATTGGGTTCTGTTTTTTAAATATGATTCAATCCATTTTAACTTGAATAACTATTTCTTATACGGGAATAAGTAATTATTGCTGTGGTATGAAGAATCACTGTGCGAATGTCAAAAATATATCAGTAGCACATTTTCATGAATTTCTAGTGGTCAATTGACCGAAAATGGTGGAGTCCAAAACAGAAAATTTTTTAAAAAATTTTCAATTTTGTTTCTGAAATTCTGGTTAGACAAAATGTTTTATTACACATGAAAATATAGACCCAGTAATAATCCAACATTGGAATGAACAAAATTAAAAAACAAATAA